GCTCGAGCGGGCGCTACTCTTCGGGGCGATCCTGGGCGACGTGCAGGACGGGTACGTGGACCGGCAGGCGATCGACCTCGACGAGCTCTTCGAGACGGGCGTCAACGCGATGCTCGGATCGCTCGACCCGTACACGACGTACGAGGACGCAGCGCAGGCGGCAAGGGCCCTGCCGGGCGACTGAGCTGGCTACTGTTGGGATGGCTGTGAATGAGTGTGAGGTTGCTTGCGACCGCAGGCCGAGGACCTGACCACGCGCACCACCGGGCGGTACGGCGGCATCGGAATCACCATCGGGGCCGACGAGGGCTCTAGTGCGCGCGGAGGCGGAGGCGGCGGCGGCGGAGGCGCAGGCGCGGGTCCCGCACAGAAGGGGAGTCCTTCGATCCTGGTGCTGTCTGCGCTGGAGGGGTACGCGTACGACGCGGGCGTGCGTCCGGGTGACCGGATCCTCCAGATCGACGGCCGCCCGATCAGCGGTGCCGCGTGAGGAGGAGGTGACGGAGATGCCGCTGGCTGAGGGTGACTAGCTGTGAATGAGTGACTAGGTGCGCGCGTGGAGGAGGTGAAGAACATGCTGCGCGGCGAGCCGGGCACGCAGGTGTGTCTGCTCGTCTGGTCGGGTGACGTTGCCAGTGAGTGTGAGGCTGACGCACTCGTGGTGCCAGGTGTCGCTGCTACTCCAGCGGGACGGGTCGACGCAAGAGGCGATCCCGATCGACGTGCAGCGGGCGGAGGTAGACGCTTCCTAGACACTTCCTAGACACTTCCTAGCGGATCCCGATCGACGTGCTGCGGGCGGAGGTCCGCCACTCGTCTCCCTCGCGACCGTCTCGAGGACACGTCCCGAGACATGCCATGCACATGTCCCGCAGGTCCGCTTGCCCGACGTCTAGGAAGTGTCTAGGAAGTGTCTAGGAAGCGTCATGGACATGTCCCGCAGGTCCGCTTGCCCGACGTCTCCCTCGCGACAATGATGGCGCAACGCAGCGGGGTGCGTCCAGCCGGACGAGCGCCTCCGAGTCGAGCCTGGGCTTGCTCGTCACTAGGCGCCGCGCACCGGGTACGTCAAGCTGGACGGCTTCTCCGAGGGCACCGCCGAGGAGCTCGCGCGGGCGATGGTGCGGCTGTACGCTTCGCAGCGAGCCGCGGGCGAGCCTCTCGAGTCGCTCGTGCTCGACCTGCGCGACAACCCGGGCGAGCATTTCCTAGACACTTCCTAGACACTTCCTAGACACTTCCTAGACTTGCGTGACATCCCGGGCGAGCGGACTCGGGGCGGCGGCCAGACCGCGCGGGACGCGTCCAGGACATGTCCGAGACACGTCCGCCAGGCGGGCTGCTCGACGCGGCGGTCGGCGTCTCGCAGCTCCTCGTCCCTCAGGTCTGCGAACACTTCCTAGACACTTCCTAGACACTTCCTAGACACTTCCCAGAAGCCTCGTCCCTCAGGTCTGCGGACAGAGGCTCGTCACGGACTCACTCCTTGACAACCCACAAGTTGTCCTCCCCTCCTTCGCCCATCCTCCCCCCCCCCCCCCCCCCCGCCTCCCCTCCCTCCCCTCCCTCCCCCTCCCGCCTCCCCTCCCCCGGCACACCGCCCCTCGAGGCGCCGCAGCCGCAGCCCCACCATGCCCAGCCCCCCCCCTCTTGCCCCACCGCCCCGCCCCCCGCCGCAAGGTGGTCGAGCCGCTGCCGGGAGGCCGCTCGCTCAAGCTGACCGTCGCAAAGTACTTCACCCCCTCGGGCCGCTGCATCCAAGCAATCTCGTACGCAAAGCCGCCGAAGCCCGGCGCCGAGCTCAAGGTCGCCGAGCCGAAGGCGGACGAGGCAGGCAGCCCGACGGACCGGGCGCCGGACGCCGCGCCGGCAGACGGCGACGACGAGGGCGCGGCTCGGCGCAGGCGGAGGCGGGAGTCGTGCGCGCAGCGAGAGGGCAGCAGTGAGTCTAACCCGCGACGAGTGCCTCGCCAGGCGGAGGCAGGAGTCGTACACGGAGCGGTCTCTGCAGCCGAACCCGGTCTACCTCACCTCGAACGGGCGAGAGGTGCAGACGGGCGGCGGGATCGCGCCCGACGTGGCGGCGGCGGGCAAGCCTGTCGGCGCGCTGGAGCGCTCGCTCATCCGTCAGGGCGCCTTCTTCCGCTTCGCCTCTCAGTGGCTTCGCGAGCACGAGGGGACGCCGACACAGCAGGCGCAGCTCCTCGAGTCGACGCGCGGCTCGGACGAGGCGCGCGCCCCGTCCCGCTCCCAAGCAGTGATGCCACAGGACGCCGTGACACAGCCCAACCGAGGCCTGTTGGGCCGCAGGCGTACCGCGACTTCGTCCGCTTCGCGCGCGAGCGCTACATGGCGAAGCGACCCGCGAGCGACGCGTCGCTCGCATCCAAGCCGGCGGCGGAGGCGCCGAGCGCCGCCTCCGGCGCGCAGAAGGAGTCGCCGCCGAGCGAGGCTGGCGACGCCGACGGGTGGGCGGAGTCCCCACGCAGCCCCCTCCCCTCGCGCCGTGGTCGGAGCGGGCCTCGGAGCGGGCCTGTAGGTGGGTTGTGCAGGACAAGCAGCTCGTCGAGCCCCTGCGCGCGCTCGAGAAGGCGCTCTCGCGCGACGGCGACGGGCAGCGCACGCGCTCCTCCTCCGAGCTGAAGGCGCTGCGGCGCGCTCTCGCTTCGGAGGAGCTCTCGCAGTTCGAGTCGCAGCACTCGCAGATCGCTGCCGACGTGCGCGAGGCGGTGCTCGCGCGGCTGCTGCCGCCGAGCGAGCGGCTGCGCGCCTTTCTGCGCGACGACCCGCAGGTCTGTACCACCGACGACCCCGCCCGCGACATGTCCGCGACACGGCACCTCGCGTCCGCGACACGTCCACGACACGTCCCCCAGGTGCTCGCCGCGCTCGCCGTCGCCAACGACGAGGACCGTTGCGAGGCGCCGCTCGCCCCACCCGCCAGCTCGCAATGAGTGATGGTCTCATTCTTCTTGATAGGCGCGCTATGAGGCGCTGCTCGCTCCACCCGCCGCCTACGCGCCCGCGTTCCCGGGCGACGACGCCACGGCGCGCACCACCGCGGACGCGTCGGCCAAGGCGAAGGCCAACCTCCGCTCCGCCAGCCGCCGCTCCAGCCTCGGCTCCACCGCCCGGTCGGATGACCCGCCCGGGTCCACGCCGCCGCCGACGACGCCGCGCCGCGTGGCGAGCGGCGGCGTGGCGCGCGGCAGAGTCTGGGCCGCCTGATTGCCTCTCGACGGTCTTCAGCTGCCTTGTCATACTTCGCCATGGCGTCCCTCGGCCTTCTCGCCGACTTCCCCCGCCGAGGAGAGAGAGGGGTCTTGCAGCATGCTGGCTTATGTGGTATCGGGTGTGGTCCTGTGGTCACCGGTGTGCACTTGTGGGCGGGTCAACTCGCCGGGCGGAGGAGATACTTGTGTGACGAGGGCCGTGATCTGCGTGAGAGCGGAGCTGCGCGGTTCCGTGATGCACGGCGCGCGTGCGCGCCGTCAGCTGCTGTGGCGGCGGGGCCTTCTCCAGTCTCTTGCATGTCTCGCGTGTGGCAGTGGGTCGGGACTCGGGTGTACGGTACGCTAATCAGGTATTCGTGAGCTGACAACTGGGAGCTATCGTTTTTGAGTTTTTGCGCGCCCTGGTTAGAGTCGCGCGCGGCCATGAGCCGCGCACTTGGAGCACTTGGAGTGCAGTCGGTAACCTCACATCCAGGGCCGAGGAGCTAAGAAGCGCACCCAGCTTGCCGGATGAGAAGCGCACCCAGCTTGCCGCGCGTGTGCGTGTGCGAGCCGCCCTGAACGCCACGAGCGCGCCGCGAGCGCCGTAGCGCCGGCGAGCGCCGTCGGCAGCGCGCGACCGCCACCCAAAAGCGGAGGTACATCAGGAGCCGCAGCCGGCCTGCTTTATCAGCCCCGGTTAGAGCACGCGCGCGGCCATGAGAGGCAACAAATTTGTTTTTTCCCAAAAGGCGGCGGGATTTGATCCATGTTGACAGCGCCATCAAGTCCATCAAACAGTCGGTGCATGCGAGTGGCTGCAGGAGCGGCTCTTGTCCTCCTCCTGCTGGTCACCCTCGTCGCTTCGGGCTCGGCCTCGCGCCAGTTGGATCCTCAGGAACGGTTCGTGAGCGAGGCGGAGCTAATTCAGCAGCAGGAGCAGAAGATGCTGGCGGAGGAGCAGAAGATGATGGAGCAGGACGCCGGAAGAGACGACGCCGGGAGTGACCAGGCCACCTCACACCTGTGCCACCACCTCGCCGCACTTATGCGTACTCTAACCGCCCTCCTCTGTCTCTGCCGCACAAGGCGTCCGCGCTTTGGAGCGACGCGATGCGTCCGGTCGCCGGGGGCGGCGGCCAGCACGAGGCTGCCATGCGGGTCAAGGCGAACGAGCAGGCGGCCGCCTTCCTGCAGCAGTCGGGGCAGTGAACACACACACACACACACACACACACACACACACACACACACACACACACACACACACACACACACACACTGACACGCACATGCACATGTCATGTGCATGTACATGTGCATGTGCATGCTGTTGTGCATGTGTCAAACACGTGTAATCTCTAATCACCACATACACACCGCATTATAATGCGCGCGACCCCGGATCCGCTCCAACCTCCATTGAGCGTTGAGGCCCGCTACGCCGGCTAAAGCCGTAATCTCCCGTATTTCTGCGCTTGTTCGACGTTTCGACAGTAAAAACGGTGGGGCGCATGGTGCATGGACCCACCTCAGGGATCAACCCTGTGTGCCTGACAAGTCGTTGACAAGAGTCGTGCTTGCAGTCCCCCGCTAAAGTAAAGGGCACGCTCTCCCATGCGGCATGCGCGTCTTGCGCGGTCACTCTCTGGGGTGTGGGGAGAGGCTGCACCCACACCTTTATAGTGAGTAACGGAAGGAGGTCTCTGTGCCTGCTCAACTCTCTCAGCAGGCGCGGCGCGACTGCGGACTGGCGGCCTCGCCCCCGCGCGGCCTCCATGTGGGCCGTCAGAGGTCGTGGTCGTCGGGGTGGTAGTACTCTTGCAGCAGCCGGTAGATGTACGAGGGGTGGTTGGCGCCGATGTTTGTGATGAGGAGCGAGACCAGCTCGGGCGGCACGTAGTCGTAGGCAGGGTTGACCACGTGCACCTGGTTCGGAATGCCACCCGTGAGTCAACGCCACACCTGGCCGTCCGCGGGGCTACAGGCACGCGCTGCGCCTCCTCGTCGACGCCTCCGTACGGCAGCAGCGGCTGCGGCGAGAGGAGCGAGTTGTACCTAATCAGCTCATCGAGAGCCTCTCACTCATGGCTCGCCAGGCGGCTGCGGCGAGAGGAGCGGGCAGTACTGCTCTGGGCCGGACGGGAAGAGCGGCGCGAGCTTGTACAGCCCGGCGCAAACCACGAGCGGCACCTGCGGAGCCCGCGCGGCGTCGCTGTCGGGCGGCGGGCGGCGGCGGGCGGCGGCGGGCGGCGGGCGGCGGGCGGCGGGCGGCGGGCGGCGGGCGGCGCACCGAGTGGTGCTGCGCTGCGATGGCGAGGAGGTGGCACGAGGCGGAGGCGTACAGCCCGCCGTTTGCCATCACGGCGTGCGCGCCGACGATCACCTTGTTGGACGCGCGACATGTGTTGGGCTAGGTGATCGTCATCCTCCTCATCGCCGTCGGCATCACTGATCAATTCATCACCTTGTTCACGCGCGCCATCATCGCGAAGATCGCGCCGTCGGCGATGAGCGTGGTGGCGATGCCGGCCTCTGCCAGCCTGTGGACGTGTCGTGGACGTGTCACGGACATGCACATGTCACAGACATGTCGTAGCGACGCCGCCATCTGTCGCCTGGCCGCCGTGGCGTGGCCCTCGTTGGCTGGCGCCTAGTCTTTCATTGGCACTACTGCCGCCACTGGCAGGAAGAGTTGGTGTACGTCTGCGCGTGCGCCGTCTGCGCGACGACGACCTCGAAGGGCCGCTTCTTGTGCGCGGCGCGGAGGAAGGTCTCGACGGTCGGGTCGCGCCTGCAGGGAGGTTCCAGGAAGGGTCGAGGAGATCTCTTCGGGAGAGGAAAGTCTCGACGGTCGGGTCGCGCCTGCACAATCGTCAAAGAGTCTGCTAGCACAGAATAGAATCGTCCGTCCGGCGGCGGTGCTCTCTCGCCCGTGTGTGAGGATGACCTCGTTGGCATGGATGTGCTCCGTCGCCTGGTGACTCACGGGTGACTCACGGGTGACTCACGGGTGACTCACGGGTGACTCACTCCCTCGTCGTGATGATCACAACTGAGACGACGTCGGTGTGCTCCGAGGCGGAGGGAGGCGTCGCGGCGTCGCAGGGGGCGTGAGAGAGCGCGGCGCGCGCGGGCGTGAGAGCGAGCGAGAGAGGGAGAGGGGGAGAGAAAGCGCGTGTGCGAGGGGCCCCGGCTCCTCGCCTGGTCCGCAATCTGCTCGTGCGCGGTCGAGATCTCCTCGTCGAGCTCGGTGATGGCGGCGTGGATCGGCTTCTTGAGGTCCTTGGCGGGCTGGCTCGAGTAGTCGGGCGCCTCCACCGCGTCCAGCATCTTCATCAGCGACGGGCCCTTCATCACCATGCTGCTCGCAGCGGGAGGCGCCGGCGCGTCGCCGCTGCCGCCGGCGGGCGGCACACCAGGCTCGCGCGAGAGGGTCGAGTCCTGCATCTCCTCGCGCACCTGCGCGGGGCCGACGCGCCGCCGGCTCAGCCCGGCCGCTGTCGGACTGCCGCCGACCTACTTGCGGGCCGGCTAGTGCGTCTCTCTCGCGCACAATGTGGAGCACCCGCCGCACCATGTTGCCGATGACGAGCTCGTGCGGCTGTGCCGCGATCAGCAGCTGGCCGGTGAGCTTGATCGAGCTGATCAGCCACGAGACGTCGCGCACCGCTGTGTGAGTCACCACCTCCCGCATAATCTTGAGCGCCTGCCGCGCCACGTCGGCGGACGTGCGCTTTTGCTGCCGCCGCAGCCGCGCGCTAAAGGCGCTGATCTCGCGCTGCACGACCACAGGGAGCTCGCCGACGCGCGTCGTCGCCGCGGCGGCCATCGCGAGAGATTGTTTTTTGGCTTCGAGAAGGGCGCCAGGGAGGGCCGCGCCGAGCGCGAATAAAAAATAAGCTTTGGCGTCGGGCACAGCACACAGCCATCCCTCCCTTGGCTTCGAGAAGGGCGGCGCGAATAAAAAAAGTGGGGGCTCGCC